GAGAATCCCGAGGACCCATCACAGACCGTGACATAGAAGCCCGGTACCCATCACAGACAGTGACAGAGAATCCCGAGGACCCATCACAGACCGTGACAGAGAAGCTGTAGTTGTAGAGGATCAGATAAACGGTTAACTACAAATGTGTCGCAAAGGAACGGAAGAAAAGGATTTCTATTTAATTAGTAACAATAGATTCATCGTGTTTCACATTTTTAATCCCGCAAGGGATTGCGCTAACAGCTTTTCAGATGATGTCAGAAAGTAAAATAAAAGTTATAAGTCTATAAGACTTCAACGTTTTATTATTCATATCTTAAACATTGCCTGCTACAGTAATTTCTCAAATATTTGAATTATAGATTACGGCACCCAGCATGGATAGGAGAAAGCCCCACGCAGCAGGCAGTTCCGGAAATGAAGCCAAATCAAAATTAGTCTCGGTTGTACCACGTAATAGACCAGAAATAAGATCCGTATCACCTGAAAAGCCGTCCGTTGCTGCGAACGGTCACATGGGAAATCGAAGAAGACCATCGGTTAATGCTGACAAACGTTCCGCTAGTAATCACTTAGCAAGAAAACACGAGCCTGCTCGTGATCCAGTCGTTCGACATGCAGCTTCAAATCGACAACCAGCCAAAGCTGCTTCTGCTAGTCGTTCTGACGGTAGGAATATAATACGTCGAAAACACTGAAAACCAAACCATTCTGTATAATATCCGAAATGCATTCTAATTCGATTATTTGAAGCATATCACACTTTGTCAACATAGCGTGTCATGTCTTTGTAAAAGCTTTTCCTAATACATACATATGACTCATTGTAATTGTAATATAAAGATCAATTGTAAAACTAAACTCTCATTCATAATAGCTATACAACATCCTGGGAGCTCTCAGTACCAATACACCGATTTCAATATTCCCCTATAGAAAAATTTTAGTAACCATCAATGATTAAAAACAACAGGCTTATAGTAAAGATTTTCATTGTAATACACATGACATTTTAAATAAGCCATTGCTGAAGTTTATACGTGCATTCCGATCATTTAGCATAAATGATAGTAATGTACTTGAATCGATGATAACTTTGTTTTGTCTAATTAGAAATTGATCAAGAAAAAGGGACAACATTTTATGGAATGGATGTAAAAGAAAAAGAAATATTTAAACTGATCAATAATCATCGTCAACAAAATGGACTAGCACCACTTCAACCGTCCGCTAATCTTGCTTATGTTGCTCATACACATGCTGTTGATATTATTGAAAATAGTCCAGA